TATATATATATATATATATATATATATATATATATATATATATATCACAAAATCTAGTTCTGAAAAGAGCCTGAATACTGTACCTATCATCTATAATGTTAGCATATTGATGTGCACAATGAACCACAGTGTTTTTGTTGTCAAGTAACTGTTAATAAATGAAAAATTTAAATGTTTTGAACATTGAGAGTATTACTGCTGCCCCCATCTATATCAGAAGGAAGAAAATGGTAGGGGTGGCCACAGGGGTGGCCAATGATTTGCTACGGGTGGCCATGGCCACCCCTGGCCTCCCATCTAGCTCTACCCCTGGGCTCCGGACGTCATCAATTTTGGCTCCTCTCCTAAATGAATCATGCCTCGACATGTGCTTTGGGGAAACAAAGCCTCGGCTCATCTCATAACATCACTAACTTTAAGTGCTTGTGTTTGACAGAATGTGAAAGACATTTATGATCAGTAGTTAATTGAGAAAGCAATTAGTAATTCCCTTTATGTCCTTTTATCACCCTGTATAAAATGTTCTTCTGTTTCTCTAAAACTGTTTATAAGCATAGGATCCAAAGGTTTTAGCTGGCAACGTGAGTGAAAAGAACTGGATCACATCCTTCATCTTTATTCAAGTCAAGATACAACTACTATAGTATATCTAATTTACACAGGTCTATATGTACAACAGCAAATACAATAATGGTAGACTCAGAGACATGTTGATACTAGCCAGACATACACAGTCTCTCTCCCACACACAAACACAAGCTCACACACATAGGTCAGTTATACCAAATAAAGATAATGCTCCCCAAAAACATCTTGACACGTTGTCAGAAATGCACAAACTTTTGCAAAATTAGTTTTTCATCAGAGTGTGAAATGAGAGCGTCAAAATGAAAACAACCAATCTTACAGTTTTGCATTGTTCTATCACGCTTTCTTTAGAAAAAGACAAAAAAAAAGACAATTCCTTACATTTTTTCATGGCAAGATGTGACGGATAAAGACCCTGCAACTACAAAAACGACACAGATAAAACACAGCTCTACAAACGGGCGACAAACAGAACATCTCATCAGAGTCACATTACTGGGTGCTGGTTGGATATGCATCAGCCGGGAAAACTTAAGGGGGTTTAAAATCAGTCACTGCTAGAAAATTAAATGAGATGTTTTTACCTAAAAGAGAACAAACAGGAAGAACCAACTATAGACACCACAGAACTGATCTGATTAAACATGGGGGAATGATGACTGTAATATGTTATATTGCTGCTGCAGCTTAGCAATGAGTCTCATCCATTTCAAGTTAGTAATAAAAGTCCTCTCTCTTTAATCAAGGGGGAACAAAACCAAAGCACAACTTGGTAACGTGAACTAAATAACCATTTTTAATTTTTTTAAACCAGATGTGTGTGAACAGAGATTGGATGACAGAGGATGACACAGATTAGACTGATGTGATGTGACAGAGACGTTGGGCAGCCGGAGGAGTGTCCTCATATAAGAGAAAACAAAGGTTGATGTAGGCCACCATACAGGTTTTAACTCCTTTAAACAATCTAACCTCATTGATACAAATCACACAAAATAGCGCCTTAATCTTTCCCCAATAAGTGCCCCCCCTCCCATTTTGCTGTTTGTGCCTGGAGGTCGGACACATCGCAAACTTTGGCTGTTCAGGAGAGGATTTTCTCCCTGGTTTCAGGCAGCTTTAGAGCTACCAGGCCTCCACAGACCAGCGCGGCGAAGGCCAGGAAGATGGGAATAATTTTGGTGATGCCGATGAAGGCGGCAAAGATGAAGCTGGCAATGATGGCTGCAAACTTACAGATCCCATTCAGGATACCAAACGCTGTCCCTCTGTAAAAAAACAAACAAAAAACAAACAAATAAACATAAAAGATGTAGATTCAAAACTGGAGAGCTGCTCTGTTCCTCAAACTCTGAGGTTGGGGGTTGGGTCTTTAGCTATTTATAAACATATATACATTTTTTGAACAATAAGAATCTGAAGGGTAAGAAATGCTTCGGTGTCCACAATAAATCAATACTTTGCACAACCTCCTTCTGCAATAATTTTACCTGCAAGTCTTTTCAGGTATTTTTTTTCCAACCCAGACTTTGATTTGGCCATTATAAAAGATGAATATGTTTTCATTAGAACTGTTCGAAAGCAACTCTGGCTACAAAGATTAACATTGTTGTCCTGCTAACAGGTAAACTTCCAACCAAATTGGCAAAATGTTCCAGCCTCAAGCAGGTTTTTCTTCCAGGATGGCCTTATATTCAGCTTCAGGGGGTGTAGGCATCTTTACAGGGTCAGGGTCGAGCATGTGCATTTTTATTTTAAAGGCGACAGGGCGACAGGTCCGCTAGAATTCTGTGACAGTGGAGGACTACAGAGAAGGGGTGCACAAACACCAGCAGATGACGTGGTCGCCAAACCATCACTGACTGTGGAAAAGTCACACCTCTGTTTTTTTTTTGTTTCTGGGATATACTAACACAAAGCAAGAGACTAGAGTGTAAAAGAGAAGAAAATATTTGCTTGGTTTGCTTTTATTTATCATAAGACCCTTTTTTATATATATCAAGATTTTTTAAAATATATATACACTGCCTGGCCAAAAGAAAAGTCGCCACCAAAAAGGTCACTCACTCTAATACTTTGTTGGACCGCCTTTAGCTTTGATTACGGCACACATTTGCTGTGGCATTGTTTCAATAAGCCTCTGCAATGTCAAAAGATTTATTTCCATCCAGTGTTGCATTAATTTTTCACCAAGATCTTGCATTGATCTTGATGCCAATGATTTGACCCTTCTCAAACAGACTAACATCTTTTCCACGACCATGGGATTTGTCTTTCGACATGGTTGTTTAGGAAATGAGAAGCAAGTCATTGCACCAGTTGGGGTTAAATAACTTTTTGCCAGCTGAAAGATAATCGCCGATGCAGTAATTATCTAATAGGAGGCTCGTACCTATTTGCTTAGTTGAATCCAGGTGGCCACTTTTTTTTGGGCCAGGCAGTGTGTATATATATTACGATTTAAGTTTCTAAATGTGCAAAACTACACAGAAAAAATATGGATAAGAATATGAGCCTCTAGGAATTTACCAGAACCTCGCAAACTGCGCATGTGCAAACGAGGGAGTTCTTCTTGCAGATTGACGAGTCCAACCATTGGCATCTCTCGGCGCCGACGTGTGGTTTTGTTGAAGTACAGTGTGAGCAGTAAGTTGGCATCATTGGGCAGTACAGTGTGTTAACATGCATCGCGAGCTGTGAACTATTAAACCCTTTCATCGTACAGTTTAAGCTGTAACTGCGTACTACGATTGGAAACATTGTACAGTGTATGCCCGGCTTTATTTAGAAAAAGCAAAGAAACTTTTTCCACAAAGAAATGTTTTGTACATTTCAATCAATAAAGTATAATTTGATTTTACTTACTAAGAAGAGTTGATTTAACAAACTCAAATAACTTTAACTTCGAAATTTATGTTATGAACAAAAGATGTTATTTCGCTAGTTATACACAGAGGTATGGAGACATTACATCCCGCACACACAAGGAGAACCTAGGATAGCCATTTAACCTAACAGTCCTGTTTTGGACTTTGGGAGGAAGCCAAAGTACCCAGAGACAACTCATATATGCATTGGGATAAATGCATATATGAGTGCGATAAAATTCAAACTCAGAAAGACCCTGGGCCAGGAATCGAACCAAGAACCTTCTTGCTGCATGCAACAATATTTTCTATTAGACCTAAACATGGTTAGGCAATGAAAACGCACCAAGTTTACTCCTAATATCAAAGTACATATTACTTCCATCTGTTAAGTTGGGAACTTATTCAAATTTTATGTTAATAGTATTTGGTAAGATTAATTAAATCGACATGTCTTTTGGTGGATATAGATTTAAGAATTATTTCTAAGAAAAAACATTAAATAAAATGTTTAATTTTTAAGTAAAGGCAGTTACATGAAAATTTGCAGTAAGAGGTCTGAATACAACTGCTCACTACTTTTTCAGATTTATATTTAGAGTATGCTTGTTGTTATAACCTCACAAAATGTGAAAATACTTCACAAAGTTAAACCAAATCTTTGATTGATTTTCTGCTACTGCTTGATAAGTTACGAAAGATGGTCGCTAGATATTTTTTAATCCCTCAGTGCCATGTAGGGTGCTTTAATATATGAATAAATCCACGTTTAACATGAGTGTAAAACCTTTTTAGGTAATAGTGACGATACCTTTGCATTTGTTAAAGAGCCACAGTTGGACGGTACCTTTTAGAGGAGGGGTAAAGCTCCACAGAGATGACTTCCAGCCCGTTCCATGCTGCCACACTGACAGCATAGAAAAGACACTGCCAACAGATTACAGCTCCTTGACTAAAGCTTAAGAGCAGCAGGAAGGTACAGGCCGACGACGCCAGCATAGAACCACCTGAAAAGAAAGAGGTGAATGATAACTGAGCTAATCTAACTAATTTTCTGCATTGAATGCCATAAACACGCTAATCTGTCAAAAAACCAGAGTGTTTGTGACCAAATATCTCACCTATTATTCGAATCCTTCCTATCTTGTCCATGAAAAGTGCTGAGATGATGTTTCCAGGAAGCACAGCCAGACTTCCCAGGAAGCTCACCAGATAGATCACTATGTCGTTTTCCTCCTGGAAGTTTAAATGACAGCCTTTCTTTGGATGGAGGAATGTGGTGTTTTCCATTTGACAGTTTTTGAATTTTTCCTGCCACAAGTCTGGAGAGAAAACACAAAAAGATAAAAGCTAGTTTCTTTTGGCCAACAGAACGCAGCGTCAGGCAGTGGCGGCACCTGTGTTGTAGAAGACGGTGTTTTTGATGGTGCAGTTCTCGAAGAATGTGTTGGTTGATTTGATGTCCTCAAAGTAGCAGTTCTCAAAGAGTGAATTCTCAAACTTCACCGATTTAATCTCGATGTTTGCAAATCTTAAAAAAAGTGGGAAAAATACAAAAACTGAATAAAAAACTTTAAATCCTAACTTTTTGTTGGCTAGAATAGAGATTAACTCACTTGTCATGGATGTACTCTCCCTCGCGGTGGACTTGGTTGACCAGGGAGAAATTAAAGTGGAAGCGCTCCACGCGTTCTCGGTGAAACACTCTGACCTTGGACTGGTACTCCTCATACTGCATGTACTTTATCATATCAGGGAACCACACCCCGAGTCCATGGTAGCTAACGCACACAAGAAAGAAACATAAAACAAAAGCAACTGAAGTAAAAAACATCAGTGATTCCTCCACCTGACTTATTCAATTCATGCCAATGAAATGAAGTAATACAATGGTTTTTAAAAGCTACATTTATTTTTGCATATTCTTGTCAAATCCTTCCAACAGTTAGAAGCTCCCTTAAAGTTTTGGGAAGTGGCTGTTCCAACTGCTGCATTTCCGAATTCTCCCGAGTGGTGCATGACTTTGCACGAGTGAATGAAGTGAATGTGATTGGTCGTTTATTAAGAGGGCGGAATTGTTGTGGTAGATGGTTTGCAAGCACGTTTGATTGTGGCCGGTTTGTCTGAACCATTGCTGCTAACCAGTTAGCAACTTAGTGCTAGTAGGTTCCCAATGGGAAATTCCCATGGGACCAAGTAGCACTAAATTGGTGACTTAGCAGCAACACTGTCAAGGAACGCTTGATGGCCAGTGGAAACATGCAAGAGGAGGAGAGTTTAGTGTCGGAGGTCATGGATGAGTCTCCTCCATCATACATTTTTTATTTAGAGGAGCAAAGTGGGGACAAAGATGTTGTGGAAGAGGACGCCAGGGCGGCAGAAGCTTGGTTTGGTGTAGAAGGCTTACAGCAATACATGTTTGAGCCCTTGCCTTGCAACGCTGCCAGTTCTGTTAGCTCTACGCCTGCTGAAGACACAGACGTCCATCCCCTTGAACACTGGGACAGAACTCAATGGGAAAGGAAATGATTCTTATTTCTTTTTTCAACCGTGGCGTATATTAGCTGTGACATATGAATCAAGATGCTATGACCGAAAAAAATTTGATTGATAGATGACGGTTGATATATGATTGGACCAATTTAGGTGTTCAGGCTGTCGAATAACTAACTGGCCTACATAAGATAATGAAAAATTTTAAGACGGGATTTTGTTAAAAATAGACATTTTCTAACTTTTGGGACAATATGGTCTGATAGTATGCATATTTAAGACAGAATTATTTTAATTTTAAGACTTGACTTCCCTACGACTTTAATGACATACCAAAGAAAATCCCAGATGGAACCCAGATTTCTTTTCTTTAGTTGCATACTGCCAGTCAGCTGGCCAAAGCAAAGCTCTACTGGAGAGATACATTCAATTGTGTGGACATACTTCTGCCTGTAAGCACCAAAGTTCAGAGCGCCACCTGTCGTGGTCACTGGGAATTGGCACTGGACAAAAGCTAGATCAAACTCTAGTCCTTGAGGGCAACTGTCCTGAACCTTAAGCCGCTACTTTTCCCCTACTCTTTGAACCATGCGGCTAACTCAAAGCTGCAGCTTTTCTGTGGATTTTTCCTAACCGTCAGAGGGGCGGATTTTCAAGTTAAAAATCAAAGGAGAAGGAGGAATAAGTTTCTTTTAGCACATGCTAGCAGCTGGCACGGTGGAGAACAAATGTCCACTCATTTTGACATTTATTTGCTGCATTAAAGCTGTTGAACCAATTAGCAGACTGTGCCGAATTCCTGCAGAGTTGAAATAAAGAGCTGACAAAGCCCCTTCTTTCGTTTCTTACTGCCACGAGCCAACAATCTAATGGGAGTTAACATTCATCCCTACTCCAGGGGTGATCTGTAGAGCAGCTCCCTCTATAGGTTTGGTGGGGGAAAGTTCAGTAGATATCGCATCCTATTGCCGGGGATATAATGCCCCATTTCCACTAGCCCTCTGAAACTGATCCGTTCAGAGTTCAGACCGAGCTTGGATCAATAACCGTGCCGAGCTTGGTTCTTATGACCATTTACACATCACGCTAGCACAGTGCCTTGCACCCTATTGGCGGTCCACGATACTACAGCTCTCAATTACGCACACAAAATTGGCGTCACCCATAACATTCAGGAACTCATGTGCCTAGATAGCGTCCTCTGCCCAAATTTCAATGAGAGCCTCGGTCATCATCCCTGGTCCCTTCACGCTCATTTAATGCCATTTATTGTTAATAGGCTGAGAAGAAGTTGGTTTTGTGAACAGATGACGAGATCTGTGAATTTCAAAGCAGAACACGCTGGTAAACCTGCAAAATGAGTCAGCTGACTGTAAATAGGAGATGACGCGGTCTGCTCATGCTCTCTTTGTTATCAGAGATTCGAGGCACAGATGAACCGTGCTGAGCCCTACTGTTGAACTAGTACTAGATTTTAGCACGGTTCAGTTGTGTCTGGCACGGTCTAGTTCAGTTGTGTTCTGTTTACACTCAGCAGCTATCTCAGTTACCGCGTGCCGACCGTTCTCGTTGGGGTTTCAAAATGGTAGTTTAAAGGAGGCTTTTTTGCCGTCTTTTTTTTGCTTGTTTGAAAAAAAGCGAGTTTTGATCAGGATAAGAATTTATTAACACAATAACATGTTGAATTTAGTAATGAAACAATATTAATATTAAGATAGAAAGAAATTTTTGGTTATAAAACTTTCTTCCATCAGGCTTTAACCTGTTAAATAAATCCCATCAGTCTGGAAATGATTAATTCTTGCGTTGAATCCATGAAATCTATATCACAGATGATCATATCATGAGATCCTCAGACGGTCCATTTCTATATTCAACACAGATTTCATTCTACCTGAAAGCCATGCAGAACCACACAATGACCAGGAAAAGGCCTTGCAGCCTGAGCTCCGGAGCAGATAAAGACATCACATTGGCCATCACCTTCAGGAAAGACACACAGTATTAGATTATTAGACATCATTTCACCTGTAAAGCAACATGTCGGGATAAAATAAATCACAAAGCAAAGGTTTCAGTTTATTTAGATGTATTATTCTATAGGGGAAAAAAAGGATTTTGAAACCTGCTGCAGCATGGTCATTTTTCGGACTGTCCAGCGCTGGAAGGCAGTTCCAGTGTCACTCTGGATCTCTATGAACTCGTCCTCCTGGGTTTGTGGAGTCTTAATGTTTGTAATCTGCACAGAAGGAAAAAGAGAGAAGGCATGTTTTAATTTTTTTACTGAATAGAATCCAACACATTTAAAAAATAGTTATAAAATTAACATTTCCAAGTACCAGTGTGGCCAATGATGTCTGTAACCCTACTGTGCACAGACCAAAGAATAAAAAAGGGCATCTTTTTTCCTAGACCGTATCATAAAATCATCTTTTTCTTGTTGTTCTCCAACTTCATTCATGAAAAATTAATTGTTTTACTGTCTCCCATCTTCTCAGAACAAAAACATAAACCTCTATGTATTTCTTTGACGTTTTAAACTGGGCATACACTGTGCAATTTTTTTCAATCGTTGCACGCAGCTACAGTTCAATCTGTACGACGAAACCGCAGGGTGAGTTAAAAACTCACAATGCACGTTTGGCCCGACGCTCTGATGCGATCTACCTGCTCACACTGTACGTCTGAAAACCACGTCGGCCTCAGCTCTACAGTGAGATGGTGCTACTCTGACTCGTCTATCCGAAGCCAAAGGAGCAGAAGAGGAACATGAAGCTCACTAGAGTGAAACGCGCTGCCTTGGCTATTTGGGCAATTTTTGTGCTGAAAGCCCTAAAAAGAAAATGAGACGACATATTTGGACAAAGACATGGCTGAGCAAACGTGGCTACTACAGTCTGTCAATTTCACAGAAAGAACTTACATCCCTGCCATACTTCTGTGTCTTCGTCTTAGAGGAAGAAGAAGAAGAGTCCTTGTTTGCTCTCTGAGCGATTTGCCCACGACAGTCGTCCTCACAATTCATGGTCACGAGAAGCTGATTCCCCCTCTGTACTCCCTGTACACTACACATCGCACAATCAGGCTGAAAGTCGGGCCGATCGAAAAATTCTTGCACCACTGGATAATTGGCCCGAAAAGGGCAAAAAAAAGTCGCTTAGTTTAAGCCCAGCTTTATGTGATATTCACATTGGTGAAAAAGTTCACAGAGTAGCCCAGCTGCTACTCTGAATGGGAGCCAATAATAGTGAAGACCTAAAAGACCAATCATAAAGATAAAACAATCTCCTTGGTTTTATTATGGTTTTATTTAGCAGTGACATGCTTCGGCCAGCCGTCAGTGTTGGTTTGAATGAAGGCTTACCGTGAAGACCCTCTCTGGCTCCCCCTTGGCTTTCCAGTTGGTGTCATGAACCTGCCTCAGGATCATCCATGCCTCGTCATGTCTTGCATTCTGGAATCCATAAACATATAGACTCAAAATATTTAAGTCTATCTTTAGGTTTCATGGTCAGAATTTAAAAAACAGATATTGTGTGGCCTATGAGCAGTTTTTATTGCAAACACATCCCTCTGAGCAGTACTGTTTTCGTCAACGATGGCGAAATTATTTCATTGATGCTCCTTTTTTTCATGGCAATAATGAGAACTGACAAGCTAAACATGGATCTTTGATGAGTAAAACATGGCTAGTCATAGGTTTGGGTTTTCGTCAATGAGAGGAGACTAAATAAAAATTAGCGGGTGTTTGATCAGACGTTTAAAATGCATCACTGTGGTGTAATCTTTTAGACTATTTATGTAGAATCAGCAGTGCTGCTGCGTCCTGTTGGATCCTGTCGCCCACCTAGCATGCAGCGGTGCAGATTCTGCATGACCACAGATGAATAATGGCAGCAGCGGCAGGGGAGAAAATAACCCAGAATATTCCGGTACTGCACGCTGAACTCTGCTCTTCCAGCTGGGCTTGTGCCAAAATGCATCTTTGAGTGGCTTAGCTCAGTCTGTGCTTTACTATCCACTCTGATAGTTCACTCTCAGCAGTATGGCTCTTCCTGCTCACGCTACTTAATAAACTATGTGGCTGATCATCTTCTGCCAAGCATAAAAATTCCCTTTACTATCAAGATTTTATTTCTTCAAGCTCACAAGAGGTGATCCTAAACATTCTTTAATTTCAGACAAAAAGAATCCCTAAATTATATCCAAAAAAACTATTTCATTTTTTGGATAAAGATCCAGAGGAAAAGGTACATAGATCTTTGAATATTTCTTTCTCATTGTTCCCATTTATATCTATTTAAATATGATTTAAATGTTTCCTTGTATTGTCATTAAAACATTTTCTGTTTCCTTTAAATATGTCAACATTTTAATTAGCATATATTCATTTAAGTTCTGGATTGCCGTTGCTATTATAAAGCAATTATGTAGGTTCTCTATGTATTTTTTTTATATCAAACCATGTAGATTTAAATCTACTTTGACCCCTAAAACCAACTAGAACTATCACATATCATAATGATTATAATGAGATAATAATAGTTTTCGTCCTGAAGACTAAGACTAAATCTAAGATGGCTGACAGAAACAACACTGCCAAGCACTGCCAAGTATTAAAAAGAGATCTGACTCTCCTGCCAAATCTACCCCTTTCTAGACATTCCAGTGTCATCATGTTTCCTTATCTGAATTGTTAACATGGGATTTTCTAGGGGAGCAGCTAACAGCCGTTTATTGCAAATCAAATTCTGCACAATCAACCAGAGATTTCTTTGTTTAGTTTAGGAATTAGATTAGATGTTTGACTCATTATCTTTACTTTTAACCCCTAAGATATACATGCTTTAAATCCTAGCAGGTTTAAAGTAGCTGTTTAGCTTTACCAACAAATTTCTGTTGACTCAGAGAAAAAAAATATGTGCATTGGCTCAGATAAAGTATCCATGTGAATCCGTGGGAGAAGTTAAAGATAAAAGTGATGGCAAGGAGACCTTCTAATCTCAAGACCTGTAAACACCAAAGACCAATCTTAAAAATGCTAAAAAAAAAATTAAAAATGAATACCTATTCCAGCAATTATAAGATCAGTTTGTCGGCTGTAATACCAACAAATAATAGTTGATTAATGTCTTCAACAGGGGGTCCCCGACCCCTAGGGGGTCCACAGAAGTACTGCATGTGGTTGCGAAAGTTTTGACGTTTTTTTTTTTTTTATATTCCCCCTTCAATTTTTTCCACTTTAAATCCACATTAAAATTAATTCAACACACTGAAGTAAACAGATACATGGAGGCAGAAGATGTCTTTCAGTCATCAATGCACACATTCAGCGACACACAGGAGCTCTTTCAAGCTGGGCACCCTTTCATCCACAACACCTATCCCATCAACTAGGAATACGAGTCAGCAATACTTTAATAATCCCAGGGAGAAATTACTTTCGTTACAGTATTTCATATGTAATAAATAGAGTGACTATAGGACTAGTTTGATATAACACAATTTCATACAATATATATAATTAGGGGGTTCCCCGCTCCATCTCATTAGTCTCTCATTAGTGTCTCATAAGTTTGGGGGTCCTTGGGCTGGAAATTGTTGAAGACCCCTGACATAAATGATTTGACCAATGAGCCACTTAGACATCAATTCTGCTGCTCCATCACACCGGAAAAAGCATTATTTATCGTTGAATTACTCCTATGATGTTTTCCTTCATGGAAGACAGGCATAAATCGTCCAGGAGGCTTCATTGCCAGGGTGATGGAGGAGTCATGATAGCAATGACCTTTAATTCTAAGGTAAGTCCATTGTTTTTGGGAGAAACGCGTCTTGTTTGCTGCAAGTCTATGAGGCAGGTCACCATGCCTGCTGCCATCCCCCAGTATGCTCTGCACTGGTGGCAACTGGTTATTTAGCTAAACACTCTTCAGGAGACAACCTAGAACTTCTTGTACTTCCTTGTAAGCTGTATACTTCTTTTTACAGCAGTTAAAACTCTGTATTGTTCTGAATAATGGTAGATTCAAGTGTAATCTAACCAGCAGGACTATTTTTATGCCTTAAGCCTTTTGGTTGCTTAGTGATTATAGTGACAGCACACGTTTCTGTGGAGTAGCCATGGGTGAGGAATGATTTGAATCACAAATCCTTCTAAAGTAATCACTCTGCTCTATGAAATCAGCCAGAATGACACCACAATACTATCGGTCCATGTTAAGACGTTCTCTTTAGACTGTTTATGAGGCTCACAGGTCATCTGAGCCAGAGCCAAAAAAATTAAAAGGGGGTTATTGTAGTAAATGGCACATAAACATTCATTATCTTTGGAATCAATGTTTTTCTCGTCTGATGTCTGTATAGAAAACAATAATAAACTGCAAAAACTAACTTGAAATAAGTCAAAATGTATTAAAGTAAGTTTGTTTACCCTCAATTTGAGTATGTATATAAGATGATTTGCCAATGGAATGAGGATTTTTACTCTTAAAAGAAGGTAATTAGATAATATACACTTGAAATAAGACAATGAAATAGTTTTTTTACTTATTTTAAAAGTAAATTGTCTTGTTCCATTGGTAAAGTGTCTCAATTACCTCCTCAATTCAAGAAAAAATACACTTATTTAAAAAAGACATCTTTATATTTTAATTTTTCCAGTGTAAAACAATTAACACCATACTAACAGAAGCTGTAATGATTGTTTCAAAGGTCATTGCAGCTTTTGTTGGTATGGTGTTAAGATATGGATCTGACCTCCAGCAGGAAACGTGGACTCTCCGGCATGAAGACGACTCCGATGAGTGCAGCCAATGCAGGGAAGAGACACACGAACATGAACAGTCTCCAGCTGTGCATCTGAAACTGGCTGCCAATGGCGAAGCCCCAGCCTGAAAAAAAAAAATATATATATATATAGTCGCTTAACTTTTCACGACAAACTCTAGTATTTTCTTGATTCATGTTAGCAGAAAGTAAATGCTGGTTTTGCCATAGGACTGAAGGTTGTGCAATGACAGTAAAACACCAGGTGGTCAAACATGTAGCTAACTCCCTAGAAGAAGCCTCAATATTTCCAGTCGGCCATTTTAAACTGCAGGAGATCTGAGCAGAATCTACTAAACTTCTGCTGCAGGATGAAAGGGAAGATGAAGATTGTAAAAGTTTACCAAAATAATAGCCCTACAATTTTCCACATTACTACGACGGAGAATTAGGGCCAGGTTTGAGTTTTTTTCTTCTATTTCGAGAATAAAGTCGTAAAATTACAAGAATAAAGTCGTAACATTACAACAATAAAGTCGTAACATTACGGGAATAAATTCATAACATTACAAGAATAAAGTCATAACATTTCGACAATAAAGTCGTAACATTACGGAAATAAAGTTGTAACATTACAAAAGTAAAGTCATAATGACAATAAAGTTGTAGCATTATGACAATAAAGTCATAACATTACAAGAATAAAGTCGTAACATTAGAAGAATAAATTCGCAACATTACGAGAATAAAATCGTAACCTTATGACAATAAGTCGTAACATTATGAGAATAAAATCGTAACATTATGAGAATAAAGCCATAACATTACAAGAATAGTCATAACATTACGACAATAAAGTCGTAACATTACGAGAATAAAGTTGTAACATTACAAAAGTAAAGTCATAACATAATGACAATAAAGTTGTAACATTATGACAATAAAGTCGTAACATTACAGGAATAAAGTCATAACATTAAAAGAATAAAGTCGTAACATGACCAGAATAAAGTCGTAACATTACGACAATAAAGTCGTAACATTATAAGAATAAAGTCATAACATGACCAGAATAAAGGCGTAACATTATGAGAATAAAGTCGTAACATGACCAGAATAAAGTCGTAACATTATGACAATAAAGTCATAACTTTACGACAATAAAGTCGTAACATTACGAGAATAAAGTAGTAACATTACAAGAATAAAGTTGTAACATTACGAGAATAAAGTTGTAATATTACCAGAATTAATTCATTATACAACAACCCGTTTCAGAAAGGAAGCTTCGAGCTCCGACCAGCAGATGACGGCCAACCTGCTCCACCAATCAGCATCCTGGGTCCACTTTGACATTCTGCCCCATTTGATGCTGTTGCACTAAAAGATTTCCTTATTCGTCTACCCAGAGCCAAAGTATAATTTCACACGATGCTTAGCATTACTCATTTTAGGAAAAAAGTGCTTCTTGTAAGAGTTGTCATAAAATACAACTTGTTGCTCCTAATTTTAGGACTTTAATCTCATAATTGTACATTATTCTCGTATTGTTACGACTTTATTCAAGTAATTTTATGACTATTCTTGTTGTGACTTTATTCTCGTAATTTAAGGACATTATTCTCGAAATAGAAGAAAAAACATCTTTAGCCTGGCCCTAATACTCAGTGGTACATTACTGACTTGAGTTCACAGTAGAGAAATTTAAGATGGCGCCAACCTTTTAGCGGTAAAATTGTTAGCCCAAGCTAATGTTAGCTATGTTCAGCACTAACACTCTGCCTAAACCTTTGGTACAAAGTGAAATATTACCAGAAGTCATATAATTATTCTGGTTTTCTTGCTGTTTTGTTTTGATATTATTATTATTCGGTTTAGCTGCGTTAAGTTATTACATTTAAGTTATAATGTTGATAATTATATTAATTCAAACACATAGGCAAAGCATCTTTACAAACATTTAAAAGAGAGTATTAACAATCAGTCAAACCAAGACAAAAATCAAGATATCTTTACAATAAGCCAAGATAGGAAGCTACATGTTCAAAAGGGGAGGGAGGAAGTTTAACTTATTTAATCCCACCAATTGTTCCATTGAAGTATATATTTTTATTTAATGTTCTGTTATTTGTTCTTTATAATTGTAACAATATAGAGAGTAAAAAAAAATATTAAAAGGAAGCTATAAAGTCAGTTATCTCCTGCACAGTTCCTTTACAGTCAGGCTTGGATGTAAAAGGACAAGAAAATAGAGCAAGGAACACGTATTATCCATCTCTTGGCTAGCTTCTCTTCTTTTCACCTATTCTTATCAGGCATTATTCATAAAAATATTTTCTAAGAAAACTCCTCTACATGAGTCCTATTTTCCTGGTTCAAAAATAAGCTCCTGTATTTCCACCATGCAGACGGAGAGCAACATGTGCTATGAATTCCTTTTAAGTCAAATGTTCTGCTGTGTTTTTAGTTTCTCCACAGCTTAATTTGTGTGTCAACATAACGCCAATGTTTATTTCTGGGAGGCTTGACAGTGTTACCATAGTGAGGAATGATTCCCCAGGCAGTGAAGGAGGCGTAGAGGCCGCCCAGCATCCAGAACATGCAGAGCCAGCTCAGATGTTCTCCACGTTTATCCATCTGCAGGAACTCAGTGAAGTACGTGTAAACGATGGGGATGGATCCACCAATTCTGAGCAGCAAAGACATTTTACTCATCAAACAATGACATCAGCTTACATATTGACAGTTTATGTGTGAGACGTGTCTGTAATGCTCTACTTTAATCCACTGTTGGCTCATAAACATTGATTTGGAAATTTAAAGAGGTGAAAAGAGGAATGAAATAATACATTATAATTTTTGTCTTTTCAGCACCAACTAATAAGATGCTTTGAGAAAACAGAACAAACAAAAATAAAGATACACTTATTCAGGATCTGGGGGAAAACAATGGTATTATAGCTCAGGGCTTCATCCAAGACAGAAACACAGCTTAACAGCAGAGCTGCACATTTAGTTAAAAGCTCAGCCAAAAGGCATGTCCAGGGGAGAGAGAGGGTTAACCACTGAAGAACAAGATAGAGTGCATCGACTAAAGAAGGAGAAATGAAAGTATAACAGCTAAACAGGAACCGATTTAGATCAATAATAAACTTCAAGTTCTGTATAATTTGATAACTACTTAAACCCAGTACATAGATTTGAACCTTTGCAAATTGGATATAAAGCACATACACTGGAAAAGGATCTAGAAATAGGTATAAATGTCTTAAATTAAGTGTATTTACCCTTAATGTGAGTAGTTAAATGAGATAGTTTGAGATAGAATAAGATAATTACACATTATGCAGTTGAAATCTGACAATGCAATTGTTTTTTTCTTATTTCAAATGTAAATTGTCTTGTTCCATTGACAAAGCACTCTCACTTTCCTCCTTAATTCAACAAAAATGCACTCATTTAAAAAAAAAAAAATGACTTATTTAGATTTTTGTTTTTTTTTGCGGTGTATATCACTCCTCTTCTGCAGAGTACTAAACAAATTATACTCAGATAAGAGAAGCACCTCTTCATAACATCCATCCATCCATCCATTTTCCTTCACGCTTATCTCCAGCTGTCTACGGGCGAGGGGTGGGGTTCACCCTGAACAGGTCACCAGTCCACCTCAGGGCAACACAGAGACAAACAGGACAAATAACCATTCACACACACTCACACCTAAGGAGGATTTAGAGAAGCCAATTAACCTAACAGTCATGTTACTGTGGGAGGAAGCCGGAGTACCTGGAGAGAACCCACGCATGCTCAGGTAGAAAATGCAGAAAAACATGGAACCTTCTTACCTCAAGGCAGCAACCCACTGCTCCACTAAGCAAGCCTCACTTCATGATATTTTTTTTTTAAAAAAAAAAGTAAAAAGTAGCTGTGAGAGCCAATTGGAAGCAAATTCATTGATATTTGTAAAAGGTTAAACTCCAGAATTTGTAACTTTTAATGTTAAAATTTAAGTTTACAAAAGCGTAGAAGATAGAAATGCTAATTTGTAATGCATAGTTTTGAGCTTCCATATGTTTTTTTTGTTTTTATTTTGTACGTACGTAAGAACAGAGGGGAAACAGATATGCTGGAAGCAACACCGTTTACCATGTTGATGTTCTTTCATTTTTATTTTCTTTTAATAAACATCATAAACTGAAGAACATTATCTGGTTTTGCTTGAGTTTTAATATTTGTTGCTAGACTGATTTCCAAAGTGGTCCAGGAGAAACTAAAGAAGTTGTCGTACCACTACAGTAGCCATAGGAAACTAATCAAGACTAACAACATAAATATTAAAAAGGCTTTTAATGTACTGAGTAACTGATTATAACATCTGATTTAATGTTGAGTTTTTTGTTTAAAAATATGTAGATATACACAAAATATACAGTTATATGAAAAGTCTTGTGTTTTAATTAAGAAAATAAAAATGTATATGTATGGCACAATAAAACAATAATGATTTTAATTGGAAGAAACACTTTTTAAATCCTGTTTCTATCATAAAACAGATAAAACTAACACTTATATAATTCAACCTATATAATTTATTTATAATTTAATATAATTTATTTATAGGTTTGGTACATCTATTAACAATATATGGTATAGCATTTAGTGTATAGTTTACTGAGATAGAAATGACAATCAATAAATGCAGCTTGAGGACAGTAAAGAAGCTCAACTTTATAAACATACATACTGTTTCATTTTCCTTTAAAGAAAAGCTTTTTCCTCATTGAGTGAAATACTCAGATGGCAAGAGTAGCCAACTTTATTTACTACAGTTAAAGAAGCATTACTGCATATTTTTACTCAAATCAAAGTACTATGTAGTAAACCTACTCCCAAAAGTATTTGTTCAATTCATTCTGGTTTAATTCCTATAACGTTAAATAGGGTGTTTGTTAATATTGTTCTCCTAATAATTGTTTACTTTTCATAATTTAAACCGTGAAAGCTAAGAATTTAAGCCATAGCAGGACAAAATTCACATAATTATTTCTAATATTAGAAAGGAAAGGCAGCTTTATTTTGTTACTTTAGCACAATTGTTTTATTTCCTACCCTGATAACATGAAACAGTTGTGTTAAAATAACTAAATATGATTAAGTAAATGCCAAAAATTGTTGCATTGTTTTTTTCAGTGCAGGTTTTTGGGAATTTGTTCCAGATTAGTGGAGCATAGGAACTAAAAGCTGCTTCTCCATGTTTGGTTCTGGTTCTGGGTAAGTAGAGAAGGTCTGAGCCAAAAGACCTGAAAGGTCTGGTTGGTTGATCCACTGACAGTAAACCTGTAATGAAGTTTGGTGTTAAGAGTAACTGAAGAATTTCGAAGTATATCCTTTAAATTCAGGAAGCCAGTGTAATGATCGTAGATCTGGGGTGATGTGCTTTACTTTCTTAGTTTCAGTGAGGATCAAAGCATTTTTTGCAGTGTTTTTTATTGTGATTACGCTGTCCCAAGTACAGAGCAATGAAATTCACAGTCACTCTGGATAATCATTATGCGACACCCGGGGAGCAGTGTCGAATGAAGGGTTTTTTTTGCTCAGGGAAAGAGACAATCCATGGGAGTGGGTGTTAGGTTTATTCAATGATGATTATAAAATGAATGTGTGTGTGCTTATGAAACATTTGACCAAGGAGATGATCCACTCTGTCTTGTGATTCAGTCAGAAGACCACCCTGCCTTGTGATTCAGTTGGTGGAGCATCCTATCTTATGACCTGATCAATTGTTCTGTCAGAACAATACTGTTTTGTAACCATGTGTTATGTTCTGTTAATAAAAGACGACTGCAGGTGGGGGGTCGGAGAAAGAGTTGAAAGTTGGGTTGGACTCTTTCCACTCCAGCAGGAGCTGTTTGAATCTCTTTCCTGTGTGTTTTTCTTTTACGAACCTACATTTTTGAACAGTGGGTTTCGAAACTCAGAACCTCAGGACTCTTAAGGCCTGGTTATCCTCCTGCAGCAGTGTGCCACAGTGAGCTTGTTGCAGATATTTTTGATTTATGCTCAATACTGAAGCGTGGTCTGCTCTATTTTATTCCGCGCTACAACGCAGGAGGGACAATCATGAACCAGCTGTGGGTCTAGATATGGCCGAGGTGGTGAGGAAGTGGGGGCAAGTTTGTGCAACAACGGATGGACATGAGGGCCAAAAAGAGCGGGGATCCAGGTGGAAAAAGGGTACCAGCGTTCTCGCACACCTCGCTCTTCTAGCTGATCCATCTTCACGAGTCGTTTTCCACAATGGCGGTCATACAAACAAAACAAGCCATTAAGGTACCAAACAGGAAATACGCTTAGGGCCGGATCTATCAAATGTTTGCGTGTATAAAAACGTGAGCTATTTCACTGCGCACGCTAAAAAATGTACAAACTGATCTACCAACAGCGTGCTAAAAGGATTTGGTCTTTAAAACGTGCTAAATAGCGCCTCTTATCCATTTAGTACTTTTTCTGCAATGAATATGCAATATGGGGCGTTTACACGCAAAAGTGCGTCTTGTGGGAGGTGAACATGTAAATATATTAATTTAGCACTCGCAAAGTGATTTATCAAACCTGAAAGCAATTTTGCTAACGGTATCTGACTCTATATTTAACACATTTCAAAAGAAGGTGCAAATGGTCTGTATGCGTAATTGCGCACACATGGCAGCGGTTATTGTTGCAAGAAGGAGACATCGAAATGAAGCAAGGAGACGCAGAGAATGCATTTTTTCACTCCGTGTGAATATTTTTGGAATGAACGAGGAAACGATCATCAAAACATGTCGTTTATCCAGCATTGCCATTTTGGAGCTGTTGGGGGAACTCCCAATGGATTTGGAGCCAACCACAAGGAGGACCCACGCAATACCAGATATCACAAAACTCCTTGCAACATTGCACTTTTTTGCATCTGGGTCATTCCAGCGTACGGTTGCAGCGAGAGCTGGGATCTCCCAATCTCGTTTTTCAGAAGTGCTGTCCGAAGTGCTGTCCGACGGGGTCGGGGTTCTCCACCTGCGCCTGTAGAGCAACATGCCAATGCTGCGGGGATGCGTAATCTCATCCACAGTCACTTCTTGTGAGCCATTTGGTATGTGCATTTTTCTACAGGCCAATGCAAAACACCTGTTTTTTTTGTTTTTTTTTACTGCAGTGAAGTAGAAATTCAGCCACATACCACCTTAGGGAATAAAGGTGGCCAAAGTTTTTTCTTCATATCACTGTAAGATTTAAATTTCTTAATGCACTAGTTTGTAGAAACTACAAACTACTTTGCCGCAAACCACAAAACGCGCAAAACCATCATTTAAATAGGGCGTCTCCAACAGTTTTGCACCTGCCACCAGTTACGCAATCGCTCTTGTTAAATCACCCGCAAACCATGGTCCAGCCCCTCGCGCAAAATTCCAGTTTGCGAGCGCAAATTACTGCACGCAAAATTAGATCTTGATAAATCCGGCCCTTAGTGTAGATTTGACCAATCAGAGGCCTTCTGTCTGCAGCACTGTCTATGGTCACCTACAATTTTGGAGAGGGGCAGCAGTGTCTGCGGAAGTGGGGAGGGGGATATCTGCATTCACTGCAATACAAGCAGGACCTGGTTTCTGAGTATAAATCAGCCTTAAGCCCAATGCCCTAACCACTACGCAATCACTCCCACAGCATCACTGTGAATAAACTGCAGCTGTAGTTTTAACTCTTTTGGCAGAGCTATGAAGACACAATTGCATTAATTGTACTTAAGATGAACACATGAATTAGTTTTTCCTGGTCCTGCTACAACATTAGACCTTCAATCCTGGAGATGTTCTTTCGAAGGACGACTTTGCTGCTGTCTTTATGAGCCTCTGAAGGTTCAGATCTCAGTCAATCACTACACCCAGAGTTCTAGCTGCATTAAATGAAGCTGTGTGCTAACTTTGAAAAAAAAAAAATTATTTGGCTAAAAAGAAAAAAAAAAGATCATTCACATTTTATCTGTTTTTTGATTCAACTAAAGAAAATATTGGCACGTCTATGCATTAACCCAGAGTTCATAGTCAGCTGGTGACACAATCATTTAAAGCTGTGTGTTATTTGCATAGTTATGGTACACTGCAAAAACAATCTAGAAACAAGTAAGGATTTCACAAATTTACCCTTATTTACCCTTAATGTAAGTAGGTGAATAAGATGATTTGCAAATGGGATGAGTGTTTGTACATAATATACACTTAAAATAAGACAGTGTAACTGTTTTTTTCTCATTTTAAATGTAAATTGTCTTGTTCCATTGGCAGACTGTCTCAATTGCCTCCTCAATTCAAGAAAAAAGAAAAATATTCTTATTTAGATTTGAATTTTTTGCAGTGCAACTTATGTTTTTGTTTATTAAAACCCGAGTAAGACAGAGAAGGTAGTTGTTGAATAGGAGGAGCCCTAAGTTGGACACTTGAGAAACGCCGCATGTGAGCTTTTGTGGTCTCTGATGTAAAGTTGCCTCCTAACACATGAAAGGTCCTTGTCCTTCAAATAGGATTTAAACCAGACTCCACCAGAAAGGCAGACCCAATTTTAAAGAACTACTGATTTATTTATTTTTTGTTAACACAATCTTTTTCAACACAATCTCATGCAATAGCCACAACTATTGCATAAGATTGCGTATTTACAGAGAGATGACAGAAACAGCAGGGAATAAGCACTAAAACTGAAATTCAAAAAAGCACTGAAGAACTGCCATCCCTTATCTTAATTTGCACAGCAAAGAAATTCTCTGTTGGGATAAATAAACAGAGATCTCCATGGGAGTAGCTTGCAGCTAAAATCTCTTTGAGGCTGTATCAACAGTAGGCGAACATGTCGTGAGCCAGTGTGCTACAGTGAAAGGAGCTTCTGGAAATGACACTCTCAGCAACATAATAAGTTAAAGGGTTGCTTACTGTGATCATCTGTCTGGGTAAAGTCTGACTACTTTAAAGATGACTGTAATTAGTGCAAATATCCACTTGTAGAGGCTAAATAGGGAATAAAACGAACTGTAACTGTGCATGGAAAATATTAATCACGGTTAAAAGAGGCAGAGAAATTTCTTGACTCCTCCTTCACACGGTTAAGATGTAAGAAAAGTATTATTGAATAATGCTGATCTGCACAAACGTCCAGCATTTAATTGTAGCACACAAATTAGTTTATAAAAGAGCAGGTTATTCAAGTCCCCATAGCAAACAACATGACTGTCTACATGAGGAAGGGTCATGTGGGAATTAACCCGTTCCATCATAAACCTGAACATGCTGTGTTTGCCACAATGAGCATGTATCTGTTCTTTGGTGAATTAAGACTAAAAGTTAGCTTTAAAGCATTCCACATTGGTTTGGTATAAAACACTTATCAAGGACCTATCATGCTGTGGGCTAGGTAGAATGTTGCTTAATTGCATGGTGTCATAAAGTCTTTGGAGTATTAAAACAATTGATTTCAACTAGTAAGATCTGCTCTTGTCTCTGACCAGCTGGCTCAGACTGGAAGGAGGTGAGAAGAGTGGTGAGAACAGCAGAGAAGATCATCGGGGCTCCTCTTCCCTCCATTAAAGACATTTCATCCCAGCTCTGCGTGTCCCGAGCCCGTAACATCACCAATGACCCTTCACACCCCCACAATGGTCTCTTCTCCCTGTCGCCCTCTGGGAAGAGACTTCGAAGCATCCGATGCAGGTCCAGCAGGTTTAGAAAAAGCTTCTTCCCCACCGTCATGAATGTTGAAACACTCTAAATCATGTCATCATACTTATAACACCAAAACCAAAATAATGTACATTTGCACCATACATATTAATGCTCTGAACTTTCATATCAATGCATTTTGCAATTGCACCATGTTTTTTCTCTCACATTTGATCACTGCTGCACTTTATGGAATGGAAATGTTCATTTCACTGCTAAGCTGCTGCTCATACACAGGGTGTGTAGAAAATGACAATAAAAGTTGTCTAAGTCATGTCTAAGTCTAAAATTAACAGTAGTGTTACCAATAACTGAGCATGCTTTTGCTAAAACGGTCATCTTTTAAAATGGGACTTCTTTCTCCAACCAAACAAATGCACTCAAATTAGGAGATAATTGTTTTTTTCAGTCTGAGCTCAAGCTGCTTTTTATATGTTTTGGCAAATGATATTATACAAGATGAGCTATTTGTTGCTGAAAGAAAAAAAAAAAAATAAATAACAGTCCTTTTCACCCTTACATAATATTTTCCAATTTAAAACCTGTGTGTTTTAGCAGATTATTCCTAGTTATTATAGAAGGCCAGTGGAGCTGCGCTGCATAAGCAAACATGTATTAAAGACAAACATCTCACCCAAAGCCGGAGCAGAAGCGTAGGAAGACGAAGAAGCCGTATCCCTGAGCAAAGCAGGACAGGAAGGAGAAGACCAGGTCGATGGTCAGGACATAGATGAGACACTTCCTCCTCCCCATCTTATCACACAGACCCCCCCACACCAAAGCACCAACCATCATGGAAACGTAGACCAGCAGACCTGCCAAATACACACAGGCATGTCAATAAGAAACACACAGATATCTCACACCTTCCCCTCAGAGCACCAGGAGCACCAGCAGCAGGTTCAGGAGCTCCACCAGGGGTCTCTCTTCACCCTCATATGAACACAAGTACAGAGGAATCAGCAACCTTCATGCATTTTTTATTTTTTCAGTGTGATGCATCCTCTTTTTATGCGAGGTCAATCCAACACCGGATGTTTCTGTATATTCATTAAGGAGTGAAAACACAGACTGGTGAGCTGTTGGAGACGTCTGCAGAGAACTCGCCCTCAGCGTTGTTCTCCTTTGACAAGTGTTGTTTTAGTTGTCATATTTTCTATGTGCAACATTTTATTGTTTGCTGGAATACAAGGCTTCTTGCGTCATAGTGTTCTTTAATGGCAAACAGGACCAACCTTCAAAGAGCAGCTGGTCCTGCTTGAAATTTCTTCTCCTCTGAAGGAGAGTTAAATGTTTTATTTTTTTCTGTTAAATTTCTATCAGTTCTCAATACCAGCTTGGGTCAACCACTCCTCCTTAAAGCTTTAGACCAATACTTACTTCCTGTCTGCCCTTGGTTTTTACTACACAGTCCTAATTACTGTGGGCATAAGCAGCTTACCGGCACGTGGAGCCATAGTGTGCATCGTGCACCTTCCCAACAGATTACAAAAGCATCCAAATGCTCCACACAGCACGCCACACACCCCATTCAACAAGACACTGCACAGGACACCAGGAGAGGAAGAGTCAAAGTCATCAGAACACCTATTAACTTTGACAATTTGATGCTTTAGAGAGTGAGTGAAGCTGTGCAAAGCCAGTGCACTGACAGGTTGAAAGGATGGACTACAAAGTGCTGCATAACCTCAAATAAAGTGTCCTTCAGCGTATTGAAACTACGGAATACCTTCAGGTTGAAGGAGAATTAGTCTTTTCTTTGTACCATTACAAGTGAAGCATTGTTTCTCAATCTCAATCTTGTAGAAGATCTTGTAACCATGAAGGGATGTAAATCCAACCAAATAAACCATACAGTTTACAGAACATTATGAAATAATCTGATGTATTTCCCACTGATGAGCCCAGTTTTTGTCTCATTGTCTGACTAAGTGGCTTAAAGAAGTTTTCAGAGTCAAAGTTGGCTCAAATCAAGGAATCACTGAGGATCTGGAGCGGCAATCATGTTCATTTTCATTTTCTTCTTCTCAATGAATGTGACGGTTGTTAAAGTACTGATTGCAAAAAAAAAAAGGACAACGTGGTAACTTTGTGAGACTATATGAATTTTGATTTTGGAAAGGAAAAAACGTAAGTAAAGATGGGAAATGCTCTGTTGCGATCCCTCGGGACAATAACGCTGTTTTTAATATGAGATGATATGAAGTTAAAGTTATTTTTCTTCAAAAAAAAAAAAAAAACCTCTAACTCAGATCTGCTAAACATCAATTGTCTGCTCTTTCCAAAGCACATCAACTGTATCTTGATCTAGACTTTGATTAGGCCTTTGTTATATGTGCATATGCCTAAATCTAAACCTGGGGTCTGCAACCTTCTCAGTACACTCACTTACACACAGCCCACCCGAACGCCCCATTTGGAACCCCATATTACTACTACTGATGCCATTTTTGGCCCCGGTACCGATACCCAATGCAGTATCAGGCGATACCGATACAGTCTGTTTGAAACTGATGTGTGTGTAAATATATGAATTACTGCATACTACTTGGATGTAAAATAATTGCCGTCATGGCTTTGTCAAGCTGCTGCCTACCTTAGTGAAGCAGGAAAAAGACTAATACAAAGTGAATCCAGAAGAACTTTTTAGTACCTACCCGGAATGGGTGACAATAGTTGAATAAACTTTTGGTTCTCAAAATGGTATCGGTGCCCTATTTGTTGGTGCTCGCCGATACCGTATAGGTGCAACACTAATTACTACTCAAATCTTTTAAAAGATCTGCAACAGAATATTTGTTGGCATTTTCAAACAACCTATTGTTTATATTTTAAAATAAAGAATTATAAGAAATATTTTATGGGAAAATTATATCAGTGGAAAATTAAGCAAAAAAAAATGTAAATGCTTCCAAATAAAATAAAAAATAGAAATAAAAAATTATGGATTATTTATGTAACATTCTGGTGTGAAAAGGCCAATGATTCCACACAAATCAGAAAAACAGCTAAAAATAGAACTTGTTATTTTGTCTACAGTTAAGATATAAAGTGATTCTTAAAACCTTTCAGCCAAAGCTATTAAGAGCCAGTGTGGAATGTCACAGGTCGTTGACCCCTATTTTATTTCTATTTCTAACCTAAATATTTAGCCTTGTTAGCTGAAAGGTGAATTTTAGCCTTTTGCTGCCTGGTTTCCCTGCAGGATTGATTGTGTTTTCAAGCTCTGATCAGATTCCTTGTCCTTGCAGAATGAAACATCCCCACAGCATGATGCTGCCACTGACATGTTTTGGGGGTTTTGTGTTGAGGGTTATGTGAACCCTTTTTTTTTTTCTCCAACTTGCACATCATTTTAGATAAAACAAGTTGAAGGTTTTTTTCTCCAATCTCACCAGAGCAACTTTTTCTCTTTTTTTGCTGTATCTGTATGTAGGTTGTGGCAACTTATCTAAAAAGGATGTTTGAAGACTGCCTTCTGACAATTCTTTTCTTTTTGCCAGAATTGTAGATTGGAAAACTAAGAACTAACCCATCAACAACCATTCCCAGCTGAGGGCCTCCTGCCTGATTGATGCTTTCCTTAACCGACCTGTCAGGTCTGATAGACGACCAGGTCACCAGCATGTTTGGAGCTCTATTGTGTTTTTGTTTCTATTTCAGGCTGATGGATTGAACAGTGGTCAGTGAGATGTTCACAGCTTTTTGTGACCTAAAACTGGTGAATGTCTCTACAACCTTCTCCCCGACCTGACTGCTGTTTCCTTTGGTCCTCATTATGCTGTTTGTTCACTAGTATTTTCTAACAAACAGAGGACTTTAAATTTGACCTGTTTGTCCTTTTTGTTTTTATTTAGAAAAACTGGTTAACCTTTGCTTCTGGCCTTTGGGGGGGAGCTGGGGTACCTGGGATGAACCTATAAATGCACAAGGAAAACAATCAACTCTAATGCTAAGGGGGGCAAATTCAGAACCTTCTTGTTGCAAGGCAACTAGATAGCATTGCCACCTTGTAGCTTTCCTTAGAAATAAATTGACTTCAAGGCTGCATTGTTCGAGGTCTCATTCCTCGATATATCTGCCCTGGGTCTGTTGTTACCAATCTGCATATCTTTCCCCTCTTCCTATCCCATTTCTAGTCTTATAATTTTTCCCACAAAACATAAAGATTAGTTAAAATATTACTTTAGGACCTTCAGTTTTGGTCTATTTTGGCTCCCCCAGTGGACAAAAATTGTATTGTTTTGCCTAAAGTAAGACAACATTTCCCATGAGTGTCATGGGAAATGTTGATGAAATGTCATGATCTCTGCACTGATGCCTGGTCTGATTACTCATTTCACAAACCTGCCTATCTCTGCCCAGTTCTCATTACCCGCTCATCTGATCCACCTGCATTAGTCACTCTATAACCAGTCTTCAGACCAGTCATCAGTGCCAGATTATTTCAAGCCTTTTGTGAGACTTATCTTGGCGTTCCTGTGTTCTGACTACCTGATCCTGACCTTTTCTGCCTCTTGACCTCTGAGCCTGCTTGTTCCCATCTGATCTGTTCGCCTGACCTGTCTTCTGACTCCCTCCTGGTCTCTGACTGTCTGTGTACCGCACCTGGAACATTTTCCTGACCACCAAGTCTGCCTGCCCTGGTCCAGCCAGTCAGCTGCATTTTGTACTATACCTGGAACTGTGACCTGACTCCGTCCTGGATTCTCCTTCTGCACCTCACTGTATCTCTGACCTCCTGGTTCTGACAACAGACCACGTCTCCGACATCGGCTTTGGCTTCACCCTCTGGATCATCCTTACTACACCTGCTTGGTTCTGCTCCCCTGCCTACCCTCCGACCACCGATACATCAGCGTCTAGGATTCTGCGTGGCCACCGTGCCTTGTTGGCAGCCAGCCGGCAGGTACCACCCTCTATCTCTGGATTCGGACTGAAATTTAAGACCAGGTTAGTGACTCGCACATTTGTGATCATTCACTTTCAGATAGACGTGGTCACTAACCTGCTAACCTGAGTAATCTGTTTGTCCACCTTAAATACTGAATCCTTCCGTTCTGAGCCTGAAAATGAGGATGAGCGTTTTAAAGACCAGCAGTAAAATCCTCATCACCTGGTGCATTTGGATTAAACTACATCTCTGTTTCCAGGGGCAGTTTGAAAGAATAATAGTGATGAGCGTATGAATCTAACTGTGATGGAATACTGTCGTGTAATAATAGTGAAAATAAGAAATATTAATCTTAGTTTTTGTTTTTCCCTCTCCCACCTAACCCGACTCATAAGCGACTGATGTGCTGACGAGTTTAGAGCCTTGAAACAGATCAATATAATGTTATGTTTGATAATTTCACTCTAAACACACATAGAGATCCCAGCAGGAAGGAGCCGCATCACCTGAATATATAACCTGCACAATTTACAGGAATATATACAGTCTCTCAGGGTAATTAAGCTGCTATATTTATAACGAAGTGGGGAAAGGGGGAAGTGATCTATGCCGTAAAGCAATCTGCACATTTGTAGTTGTTTTGTGTGGCAGGATTACTGCCACCGTCCTCAAAGTTGCTAAGTGTCAGTAAAAGCGATACAGACTCCCTCTGGCCATGATGGAGGTGTCATTCGACTAGTTGTAAGTTATCAAAATATTTTATGTATGTTGAAAAGTTACTTAGTGTCGGTTTAACTCCTAAAGGCAGTGGGATGTAATGGATATTATAAAAGGCATCAGAGGCCATCAAACTTTGCCCACCATGCATGTTAGTCAAATACCCCAAAATAAATCACTTTCAAATAGATTTTTGCTTATTTCTTTCATTTTCAAAGCTCTTTTCCTCCTACTAGTCCACTATTTTATCCGCAGTCTTTAGACAGTTGAGAAAACACTGAAGGTAAATACACAAAGCCTCAAGTATGTAATAAAATACTCTGTAAACCATCTTCCATCTCAGACTAGGGGGGAGATTAAACATATTTCTGCTCCCATCTGTCTGGTGTGCAGAGCATGAGCTTGCATCCAGCAGTATCATTCCGTAGATCTACTTCATATTCCCAGCCAGTGATCATAACTCTACTCTCGCTCTGTACAAACAGATGCTGTGATTTCATTTTCGCCGGGCCTTCCTCCTGCTCCCCCAGCCTGTCAGAGGCCTGAAGCGTATCTGACAGCTCTGCAACGGGGACGCTGCAGGGCGCCAGCGTCTCTGACTGCTGCAACATGCTCTATATTTGACCGGGAACACATGCTGAATACAATCAGCGCCTAGTTCCTCATCAGTCTCTCACTACGCCTCAACCTGGGAGTCCGTTGTTAAGATAAAATGAGTGATGTGCAATCTGTCACATTATGCAGGTTTTGCTAGATAAGGTAGCAGCCTTTAATTTGCTGCTAAGCTATATGAAGAGACAGATGTTTTAATGGTAAAACATGTTGCAAATAAATACCAAGCTTATCATTCAACCAAATACATCCATCAGAGATTTACACTTGAGTTTAAAATAATTCAACCTAAATAATCCAACCTCATTTAAGGTATAGTGGAGGATTTTCGTGAATTAAAAAAAAAGACCCACCCTCTCCACTTTAAAAAAAGAAATGCACATGCACAACCCTGTACCCGCTCCCGAGAGGGAACGCCTATTAACCTTGTACAAGAGCGTGCACCTGCCCATTTCTCCTCGTGCACGCTCTGATTAAAAGTTGCTGTTTGCATCGCTCATACCAGCTTACTTTCCAAAAGAAGATTTGCAATTAAGATGGCCTTACGTAAACAAATCACCAAAATAATTGACAATTAGGAGGACCACTTATTTTGATGATCCACCCGGAAAAAGAACATCCTTCACTATACCTTTAAGGTTCATTTACAGACACTTCTAGTTAACTCAGAGAGGTTAACCTGGTTTAACACATTGAACCATTTGACCACAGCAGCCCACCATAGTAATTAGTCTTTAATCCAATCCTCCTCTCCTTAGAAGAGCCGTTTTGGGATATTTGAATCTGATAATATGCAGGCATCTAAAAGCCAGAACTCTACAGGATTTTACTCCCTCACCACATAATGAGACGTCATTTCCACATTAAGTTTCCTTCTTCTTCAGTAAATAGTCAAACTCTGCATTTAAGAATGGGAGCAATGGATGACCCAAAAGGAGCAGTAGATATTCTTGCTCAAGAGAAGACTAGTGGTGGATTTTATGCCTCCATTCTCTGCTTCTTAACATGTGCCTCTTGATTGATGAAGACTTCTTATCAAAGTACAAAGTGGGGCATTTTCAATTTCTTTATTTTTTTACAAGATAGAGCCGCCCAGCTTGCAACCAATTTTATGAGGAAGTGTTGAGAAATCCTCTGCTAGAACCGTAAAACAGTTTTCCCTGCAGGGGTGGTGACATATTGGCTCAGACTATTTTACTTAAACAGTGCTGAAGAAGAAACTTGTATTACATTTTATCTTCAGCTGTGATGTTAAGGGGATTTCAATAAGTTATTTAACAATCCCATCCTCTGAAATGAATACTGATGGTCTGCTGTGGTGGTAAATTTACATAAATGAATAATTTCTAAATCCCAGTACAGTAGAGAAAGCAGTTCAACAAGTTATTTTCTCTCTAAAATGACTAAATGTCTTCACTTTGTTGTTAAGGAGCAGCGAGCATAAAGATGGTTGTTCAAACAGCACAGAGACTCCTTTGATGGCTTTTGATTTTCCACCACTTTGCTGCAACTTACCCAAGAGTCCTTTGTCTGCATTGGAAATGCACATATCTTTCTCAGCACTGGGCATGACAAAGCCCACCACGAAGCCGTCCACACCGTCAGCCATTAGCGCAAGGCCGAGCACAAAGAACAGCATCCACTGGAAGCGCCCGTGGCCGCAGTCCTCCATGATGGTCTCATACTGCTCCGGCAGGCTTTCCTCCACCTCCTCCTCCTGCTGTGCAGCCTGACGCGCTTTCCTCTTGGCCTCCAGTCGGGCGGCTCGCCGTGCCTCCTTGATCTCATCGGGATGAGGGATCCCCTGGTATTCCCCCTCATACATCTGATCATCCTCATCAGCCCCCTCTGTGGCATCACTGGCAGCATCCTCATCCTGTGGGGGGTAGTCAGTTTGGTAAGGGTAGCCGTCCTGACCTCCTCCATCTTGGGTGTAGGTGTATTGTCCGCCCTCAGTCATCTGCTGGTTCACATTGTTGTGATAGGGGTCATCCATGATTCCTGCCTATGCAAGCAGAGCAGGAGGGACTCTGTCTCGTAGCTGTTGTTTGCCGAAGGAGCTCAAGTTGTCAGCTATAATGACATAATCCTCCTGAGGAGCAGTGAGTGCTTTTTGGTCTTCTGGATTTCAGGTGTCGGAAGAAACAGTAGATCTTCTGTTGTTATAAGGTCTCACAGGCTTTGCTGATAGACTGCTACCTTCCTTGATGTGCCCAGTGCTGCATGCTGAACCTGGAAAATATGGTAAAATGTCTGTCAAGTCATCTCATAAAGCAGAAATGCAGCAATTGAAAGATATTTATATTATATCTGTCACAGCCACAGTGTTAGAGGGCATATTTCAAGAAATGTTCTCCAAAGTAATAGAGGAAAAATCTTACTTTTCTGTTATCTTTGACTATTTATTTATTCTTCAAAACTGGTTCTTTAGTCTAATTTACATCGTCCCTTTGTGTTGTAAAAAGTATTTCCCCACCCCAGCGCAAGCTCCTGTTATCAGTCTAGGTGAATAGAAAGTGTGTTTTTGGCAGAATGGAGACAGGCTGAGGAAAGCCATTTTCCCCCTGTGGGCAGTTTGTCCTTCTGGACAAGCAGATAATCTCTTCTTCTGCGCTTAAATGTTCTAAAGCCATTTTGATCCATCATTCAACCAGGCTGTGACAATGACACGTTCAGATCGGTCCAGAACCCAGAACAAGTTGTCTTTAAATACAAAGTATGCTGAAAATGCCCAGTTTTGCGTATACCTGCAATGTGATGACTTTTACAGTGAGGATAGGCACACATTAATAGAAGACATCAGTGGCCATTAACCTCCTTGCACTAGTCATTGGCCTTCTGGATGTGGGAGTGTGCATAAATGAATGTAGTTCATCACATGGTTATTGAAAGGCCACATTATTACAGACACAGGCCTCCATCTGTTCCAACTCTCCTTTTAGCCTCTCAGATCCTAATTTTCAGCTGGATGGACGAACGGATGGACAGATGGGTGGATGGATGGATGGATGGATGGATGGATGGATGGATGGATGGATGGATGGATGGATGGATGGATGGAGGGATGGATGGATCGATGCCCGGATGGGTGGATGGCTGGATGGATGGATGGATGGATGGATGGATGGATGGATGGATGGATGG